GAGGAGTAATAGCCATCATATAATGAGGTCAGTGACTCAGGGTCAATTACTGTTTTGACTCTGATTCTGCTAAAACTTCCCTCCTTTATATAGTGAAATTAAGAGGCAGGTACTAGCATGCATGTGGTTGAGTCTTGTGCAATGAGCTTGCCCAGGCCTGCCCTTGCATAATTTATTGCTGTCATGCATGTGCTTGCCCTGTTAAATAAACACCCAACCCACGTAAAATGCAGTGACTCAGCATTTTTTACCCTTTTCCCCTCTTAAAACAGCATTTATTTTTAAACACAATTCATGTATGTACTATTCAGTTTAATTATGTAATAATTGTATCATAGTTAAGATTATCTTATAATAAAATGTGTTATGCTGAATTATATGTACAATGTATATGTGACTCCATGCATGTACATGTACCTTACCTTATATGGGAGCTAGGGGTTGGGTGACAAATAGTAATTGTCTTTACTTGTGGTTATGTATAATACATACATAGTGTCATACAAAAGAATTGTCAAGCATAGCATAATGTTAATAAATATGTGTGTATAAATTGTATGTACTCATACTTGCTCTCTCTCACTTCCTTCTCCTCCCTTCCTCTATTGGCTGTTATTAGTTTGACATTAATAATTCTTAATAATTGTGACGCATAATACTAAAATGAAATTGTTGTGTTTAATGTAAACGAAATGAGAAATACATGTACATGCATGTATAATATTACTAGTTGAGAGGTCAGCTTAGGCAGTATCCTCCTCTTCCTCCTCCTCATCTTGATCCTCATCCCTAAGAGACAAAGGGCAGAGAAAAATTACTCTTTCCCTTCTTTCTCCCTTTGTCTCTTCCTCCATCCTCTTATACATGTACATGTACATGTATGTTACCTTGTTTTTTTACCTTGTTTCTTGTTTCTTTGTGTTGTTATTTAAAGCCTATAATTTAATATTTTAGATGTAGCATGCAATGTTATACATGTATCTCAGTAATTTACAGCAATTATTTCTTTTAAAAGATTACTGGATTCTTTGCTGCTTTTGACTTGTTGTTTGTACTATAAATGTAAAGGTGTACATGTTATAGAAAGCATTGTTATTTACTGCAATCAGCATCAGAATAGTATGTGTGACGCCCATCAAGACCATGAATACAAGTGCAATTATTGCAATAACTTTAATATTAAGATAAATGATCATAAAACATGCATCAAATTAGTAAAGTTCTTACCTAGCTCAGCTGACTCCATCTCTTTGGCTTAGAGTAGACTATAATGTACTGCATGCAGGCTGCACCTTTTATAGATACAGCCAAACCCCTCCATTATTAGCCTGCATAGGGGACTAACATGGTTAAAGTAGGCAGAGTTTGCACAGACCCAACTGAAGTATTTTATGGGAAGACACTCCTTCCTTCTTGAACTGAGTCCTCATATATGACCCCCCTCTTGCCACATGTTATGAAGATATACATGCACATATATATAATTTTGCTTCCATGCCTTGATGTTTTTGTGTCTCTCTCTCCCTCACTCTCTCTATTCCTCCTTTTTATAGCATGTTTACTTATGATGCACATGTATGTATGTACATAAAAGCCATGTGCATAAATGTATATAAATGGTTAATAGCCATGTATTCATGTATAAACTAACACTGTACACATGCATAGAATGACATTAGGTATAGGTATATGCGTATAT